GATCCTATAAACAAGAGGGGGGAATGAAGGAAAGCAGTTCGGCTTACTTTGCAATTCTGGGCCCAAGCTGATAAGGAAGTGCCCACAGCCTTGACTAGGGTCTGGCTGTCTCCATCACCATATATGGCCATAGACTCACTATCCCCAGCTTATAGGTTCTTTTCTGTAAATAATTTTTTTGTTATTTCCCACCTGCCTAGCCGGGGCCTGGCCATGGGCACAGGCCACAGTAATCCCCCTTGCTTCGGTAATTCCCTTTTTCATGTATATAAGCTCTATGCTAAAAATAAAGATTGGCACCTTCCTGGTGAACAGACTCACAGCATCCATCCTTTTCCTTTCAATAATGAACAGCTATATACCAGAGACATTTTATAGGGGTGGAGTTGGAAATGGGATTAAGAACAGTGGGGGGAGGGAAATGCACTGGACTATGGTGATGGCACAGGGATGATGTGGTGATGGGAAATCCACGGGGATTGCAACTGAGCTGGAAAAATCCCCAAAATGATGTAAAAATAAACATACACACACACACATATATGTATGTATATAAGTTTAAAAGCAGGCAAAATGAAGCTATGGTCAGAGTAGTAGTATCCTAAAGACAAAAGAGAGAAGAATAAACAGTGTCTCTAGTATGCTGGTAACATTCTATTTCTTGCTATATATGCTGATTATAAAGATGTAATCACACTGAAAAACATGTTCAACTGTATATTTATTATTAGTGTATTTTTCTCTATCAATAGTACTTCAAAGAAGTTTACTTAAAAAAAAAAATCTGGCCCTCCCTGGTGGTGCAGCGGGTTAAAGCACAGCACTGAGAAGCTAAAGCCAGGTCCACATGAGTGATTCCTGTCTGCCCCGGAGGTGACCACATGGCGTGGAAGATCTCTCCTGACCCACCCACTGCTCCCCTCAGCAGTGTACTTCCTCAATCTGACTGTTCTGCTCCCCACTCTGTCTCTGGTGAGGCCTCTTGCCACCCCTGAACCTCTGGCCTGTACCCCAGTTCTGTATGTATAAATAAATAAATCTTTAAAAAAAAAATCTGGAGACTGACTTTCAAAAGTAATTTGTCTCCATAAAAATAACCAATTTCTTTTCTAGTAGCTATTTGGTATCTGTTCAAGTTGTTTCATGATTATGAAAATAAAACCATCATCTATATATGAGAATGTGTTTGCAATGTGTTTTAAATTATAGGATAACACTCACCTATGTGTTTAACAAGAGGAGAGTCAAACATACTGTGGCCTTTCCACATTGAAGACAGAGAGGAAAATCTGGACTCTGAAGCTGCATAAAGGGTGAGTGACAGGTAAGTCAGGCTTGCCATAAGCACTATAGTATCACAGAGGCCCTGTTAACTTTGGGTAGGTGAATTAAAGAGTCTAGAAAATTGGTCCACATTTTAAAATAACGTATGGTTTTAAGCTATGTACTTCTAGTAGCTCAAGCAAGTCATACAAAGTAGGTCATACAAAGTAGTATGAACCAAGTTCCCAAAACAATCTAGTCAAGGGGTTACTCCAGGGTGGGAACAGAAGATAACCCAATTTTCTTCCAAATCACTGAAAGTTTTAGGATTGTGAGGTACTGATGGATGGAAATGAAAAGGGGATAAAACAAGGAGGTCTGGTGAGGTAAATCCATGAATTCTTTTTACATATATATTTTATTTTTTACTCATTCTTCATTTTGTGCATTTTTTTTTTCCATCTCAGTTGTAATCCCTATGGGCTTCCCAACACCAATTCACCCAGGTGCCATCACCATAGTCTAGTGCACTCTTCCCACCCCAATTGTGATTCATGAAGTCTTTATACTGCCATGTCCATCTCCCGACCTGGCAGAAGATTGGAAGCTTTTCCCTTGGAGAAAGTCAAACAAAGCTGCTTTCAACTAAAGACACTAGGAAGCTGGGGGCTGGGGAGCCTTCTGACCACTCCAGAAACATCTCCTCACCCACACAGAAGTGACAAAAAGGACATCAGCCTTCCTACTGTGAAGAGGGGCAACCAGAGATTACTCTATTAGATAGAAGTATAGAAGTCTCCTAACAAAGTAGCGATAATAAAATAATCAAAGAGAAAATTCTAGAACACAAGAGCCTATTAAGAGAGAAAAAAGTGAATTTGAAAATCACTATCTTTAGAGGTAAAATATTTTAACCTTGAAACATGAACAAGAGTTTATTTTTAATAAAGCATTATTCAGAGAAACAAGTTCATGAAATTAAAAATGAATGCAGAATTTGAAAACTCAATAGAGAAATCCTGCTACTAAACAATTAGAAAGCCAGAAAAGAAAAGCAAGACAAAATAGCTTTGGACATGGGCATATGACAATAAACTTCAGAACACCAGAGTAATTGAGGGGATCCTGCAGGTCTTCATAGAATTGAAAACAGGGCAAAATGATGAAGAGTCAGAATGACTGGATTTCTCAATAGCAAACTGAGGTCCGGAAACAGTAGAGCTATGTGTCTTCAAGTTTCTGAAGGACAAAGATTTCCAATGCTGACATCTGTCTAATCCAACTATCCAGAAAGTGTCACAGTTAGAAAAAAGACATTTACAGACAAGCAAGTTTACAAAAAAAGTATTCCCATGCATCCCTATCCAGAAAGGGATGCATGGGAATACTATCCAGAAAGGGATGCGTGGGAATACTATCCAGAAAGGGATGCGTGGGAATACT